GTAAAATACTTGCAAAATCAATGACCATTTGCAAGTATGTTGCGAGGGAAACAGGTTGGTGTGAGCAGATACTAGTTTATTTGCATGCATGCATGCATGGGGTGCTCCCGTGTGCATGCTGTATGCATGTTTATAGGTACAGTATATATACCGTACATTGGTACCATCTTATTTATACATGAACTTGTGGTTAGAGCTACACAACTCTCTCTTTAGTCTCTGTAGCTTGGTTGGCTGAGAGCGCTGCACCGGAATCACAGGAGGGCCGCCGGTTTTCGATTCCTGCAAGAGGGCCGATAGGCTCCTGGTTATAGGTTTAATAAATGTATAAGAATTCCACTTGATATTTTCATCTACCAAATCCCTTCAGTATATAGGTATATGCCGTCCCGAAAAGTAGCGTTTTTGATTTGTTTTGGATATTTTACAGTTTTGGTCTGAAATAGGGTATGGTGTACACCTTTTGCTCTGAACTGGGTATGATTTTTTATCATGCTTTCCCTAGCTGTCTTGGAGTGTCTTCAAAATGGCATTTTGTTCGAATGTCGTGTCTGCTAATCCCCCCCTCTTTTATTTTCCATTGGTTGTAATTATAGTGATGTATTCATAATTAAACCTATTCAATCACTCTGAAGATCTTCAGCTAAAGACGAAACGTTGGAATGTTTCACTAAAATGTTATAGATTCCTGTCTATATATGGCGTTATTGCGTACGCTGTGCTGGCTCCTGGTTCATTTCAATTTTATTGTCAGGGTGGGTTCGGAAATATCCCAAACCAACCTTCCATCTCAGCTGTGCTCTGTGATCAGACGTGAGTCATACGGTGGCAGGCCAGAGGCGCCCTTATTAAGCATTCGACCAGGGGTGGCGCTAGGGCTCCTTCAAGGGGGGGGGGGGGATAAGGTATAATTTTGCTGAGTCGTTAGCTTGATTTGTATTAGCCTACTGTATGTACACGCGCATATTTACTAAACTTTGGTTAACATGGCATATACGTGAATTACATAGGCAAAAGTCTCCGATTGACATGTCGACTTTACTTGACAGTTTTTAGCTACGCAGAATTCTTGGGGGTCCTTGAAATCAAGAGTCTCTGAAATTGCATTTCCTCCATTCTGGGGAAGATTTGAAATGGCTACCTCAAAGATTGGAGCTGATTATAACCACAAACAGTAACTGTAATTTCCAGCCATGACCGCTGTCAAAGAGGAACTTCTACGTCTGCATTTATATATTAGGCTGTTGTGTTGTTTTGAACTGATTTTTAAACTACCCGCTACGACTCGATAGAGCACATTTTCAAGATATCTATTCACCTGACTTTTTGAAGTGTTAAGTTTTATATATAAATTCACGTTTGGTTTTAATTCAGGTAAATCAATTCGATAACCAAACAGCTTAATTTTTGCCGAATGAATGCAACAATTTGCCAACTCGTTCATGAGTGGCGATGTTCCACGCGCCATCCCCTATAGTGCCGCCTTTGCCTTCGACTTTATTAGGTTGAGCTGCTGAAGCTGCATCCTTCGTAATTCAGCTCAGCTTTCAGCTGCAAGTGAGGATGATAAGCATACAAGATCTAGAATTCACGCCGTGCAATGAAAGATTTCATTGCACAATCAGTGAAATGGAAATTTCTCTTCAGTTAAACGACGTTAGTTTAATAAAGTGTTTCTATCAGGATTTTGGGCATCCGACCCGATAGAACTAAATGTTGAAGGGTTAAAGTTTAATTAAATTTATGCAGCCATCTGTATAAACCTTCAATATTTAATTGATTTAATTTTGAGTGTAAATTATATACGCTATATTACTATCTGTTTATTATTCAACAAGGGTTTGCTCCGACAGAAAGTTTTGAAGTCGCAAAAGCTGACATGATCGTGGACGGTATCGATGATCTGACGGACAAAGGAGTACAAGTTTTTATTGAAAAAGATGAAGAGACAAAGGTAATGTTCCTTGTGGGTATCAATCAATTTAAGCAATTATGGTTTATTTGCCAAAATAGTAAACTGTTAAGTTATTTACAAAATAATTATATAAATGTAAACAGCGGTAGGCGAGGAGACCTCAAGAAGCTAGAAGAGGCCATCCCATCTTAACAAAAGTTTGTTTCAGAAATTTGTTTGTTTAATGTTTGTTTCAGAAAACCATAAATCGCCATTTCACTCAAATTCGAAACAGCGTGTTATAAGTGTTTTATCATTATAGCAAGTGTCAAAGTTTGTTTCATAATTCACCGGTTTTAATTTTGACAGGTCAATAGTTGTTTCATTGTTGACCGGTTGCCCCCTCACCAAAACATGCAGTGAACATGACGTTTTGTGGATCGGCACGTGATATAGCCTACGGTGTAGACCCCAGCAGAAACATGTTCTACACCGTAGGCTACACGTGATACGGTTTTATCCAATCGGCAAACAGGAAAATTGAACTTTGAAACTTGCTATATAATAATGGACGATAACGTTTTGAGGGTGGAAGCGTGGTATTGAGTATAATTGCCGAATACTGGGTTTTAAAGTAATTTGAAAATGAATATTCATGGTAGGAATATGAATATCGAGGGTAGGAATATGAATATTATGCAGAGTACGAACATTTGAAACAGGATTAGCCTTTCTCACGAAGACAAAAATCCACCATTTTGGGGGTACTGTCTGCCCTCATGAAAGATTCTAGACACTTCAAACAACGTGAAAAGCGACTTTTAAAAGTTGTAACTGCATAATTGGTAGAGGAAGTACCCCAAAATGGCGGGAAAATCGGCCGTGAGACAGGCTAATTGGAATTAATATTTGCAGGAGAATTGAATAATTATCACTTATTTACTGAGACCGAGGGAAACAGTGTGTTTTGTGGTATGGTGGACCCGAGACCGTCGATGTTTCCCAAGGCGAAGCCGAGGGAAACATCGACGGTCGAGGGTCCACAAAACACACTGCTTTCCCGAGGTCTCAGTAAATAAGTGTTTTATTATATATCAATAGTCAAAGAAACAACATATTAAAGAACAAATGAACGTAAATACATGAAATATTTTATTGTTAAAACGTTATATTAAACACTGGCTACACTGCAGTTACTTAAAGCGAAAGTTTTGATTGCGTGCTAGGCATGTCCAATGGTCGCATCTTCACGTGATGGCGCACGTGATTTTTTTGTTATTCGCCGGTCGATAACATATTATCTTCCTCTCGCGCTGTTGCGAGGGAGACAGCCTAATTTCATCACTCTCACGTGATATGCTCTCAACCAATAAAACACTAGAAAAATGCGACTTTGACTATTGATATATAATAATGTAGATTGTTGAATGTTGAAGTAAAATAATTCCGCTTCCATCCTCGATAATGTTAGGGGCAAAAGACTATAAAGAATACAAATATTATTAATTAAAATTATAATGGCGATTTAATTAGGCTGCTTTCCAGTTAAGCGTTTTTCATACGCGCGTGTATATGCACATCCTCGGTCCCAGGGCCTCACGGCTGACACGGCGTTGCCGGAGGCCCTGGCGAAAACCAAAACGAGAAGTGATCTGATTGGTCGCATGAAAACAATGGAATGCGGAAATTGAACACGAACTTTTACTAATAAATATGGCTGACTATAGGAGTAGATAGGAGTGTGTTAACTCTTCAAAGGAGACGAAGAGTCGTTTTGGTCGTTGAAATCTGCTGTCTATCAATGGAAATTTTATTTTTAATATAAAAAATGTTGGATGTTGTGTCACAATGTATTAAAAAGCTGCACAAAATTGGACATTGGATTATTTAAAGATTGAAATCGCCGAAGCCGAAGGGACATTTTATAGTTTTATATACGAGATTTAATTATATACAGAGTATAAACAAAGACAGGCGAAAGGCTATGCGAGAAAAACTGTACCGTTAATTGTACAAATCTACAAAAATTGTGAGTGATGTCTTGCATCTTTCAGTTACAAATGAGAAAATCGTGAATGAGTGTCTGTGTGGTTTTTAAAGCAAGAGGGGTCCATGCCATACTAGCCTGTGCACATCCTGTATTACCCTGTATGCATACATAATATTATATTAAATATAGTATATTATAAATATATAAATTATTTTATAATATACTATATTTAATAGACATACTTTGTTGATTTTATATCAATTTCATCAAAGGCTCTTAATTTATGTAAAAATATTGTATTTTATATCAAATGTATTTAATAATGAAATATTGTATTTTAATACTATTTAATAATGACAAAGTGATTAATATAATTGCTGGAAATGTTAGTTCTTCCACCTTGTTTTGCCTTAAATTTCATGCAATATATAGCTTAATTTATAGGCTATCAATGTTTTTTTACAGTTGACAAATTATATTGTTAATAGTAATACTGCAACTTTGCTACACTGGTGATGAGCCTCCTAATTTTATGCTGTATACATACATTCAGTATTAAGTAATGTGTCAACATCTGAGAAACTAACTTCTGAATCTCTTACATGCAGTTGACATAATTTTTATAAATTATAGTGCTAGATTTCAAGGTTTAATTAGTCACCATAGGCACAGGAGGAAAGTTTTGAAATTTAAAATTGAGGAGCACTTCATGTCAACAGCACCAAATTTATAATTTGTAAACTTTTAAAGAGAAATTGGGCATGGCAGAGGCAGTGCAGGGATCAGGTATGGGGAGGGGGCTGTAGCTCCCCTATGTGGAAATTCTAGCCCCTCCCCAATCAGGGAAGTGGAATGTACTGGGAAAAATTATGTTTTGTAATGACCTTGTTTTGTAGTCCTGGTAAATGCACTGTTACAGACAATAAATTCTGCACCATTTCATGAGAGCCAAAAAATTCAACATTTTCATGTGTGAGCATAAGTTGAACATACAAAACGATAATTTTACTGTTTGAAAGATTATAGCCCCCTGTTGGGAACCTGATATTCCTTGTCAGGGAACCTGATATTCCTTGTCGGGGACTTGATATTCCTTGTCGGGGAACTCCTGAGCATCCGGCCTCCACACACAAGCACACTGGTACCCACACACCTCCATTTCCTACACCACTGCAAATTAAAACACAGCATGGATGCACCATAAAGCTGTTATTTATTTTTTACAGTATCTTTATTAACACACCAAATTTTCATAGAGGAAATTGTAAGAATAAATCATTATTTATATCAATGACACAAAATTGTTTATTTTGTTCATGTAATTTCTTTCTTTCTCTGAGTTGATGAAATTTCTTTCTCTGAGTTGATGCAACTTCTTTCTCTGAGTTGATGAAGAAACAAACTTCCCGATATACCAATCCTTTCATAGCAAGGCCTGAAATCCTTCCTAAAGTAGTAGTACAATGTTTATAAATTAAAACAATCTTTAGCCAAAAATTTTAGGCCAATCATAATTTAACAGCAACATGGATAATTTTATGATTGAAAATGGCTGGCAAGAAAATACATATTTCAAGTCATATATATGTATTAAACTGTACAATATGATACTAGCTTGTAGTATGCAGTCACACATGATACCTTACAGGTAGTTGTATATCCTACAAACAATCGTTATCTGGGGATACCAAAATTAAGGTGGGGGTAGGGGTGAGGGGGGGGGAGGGGTAGGTGGGATGCACATAATATTTCAGGCTTTTATGCTCATTGTCTCTGTCTAAATGCCGCATTTTACATGTGCCAAATCTAATGTGAATTTACATGGTTTGACTCAAATAATAAAGTTTGACATTTTGATTTAAATGTTGAATTTATGTACATACCGGTACGTAGTAAACATATGTAACTTATACATTTGTTCAAAGTGGCAAAGTAATTACTTTGCAATCAGTGGCGGCGCCACGGGGAGGACTGGGGAGGACACGTCCCCCCCCAGTTCTCTTCAAGGTCGATTTTCTAATTTGTCCATATCCGGTGAGAAATTTGGGGGGGGGGGTATGTTTGTGACATCAGTCCAGTTATTTAGATATAACTTAATAAATTCAGTCTTTATTGTGTGAATAAAAACCGGTATTAAAAGATCTTCGCTTTACTTTTGACAAAAGACCATTTCATATATGCGGCATTTACCATTAGCATATTGCAGGCACTGATTACGACCGCCGAAGGAAACCCATCATAATGGGTTAACATATTACCCAAATTAAGTGCAATGGGTAATGTGTGGTGCGGAAGTTTGGTCCTGCTGCTGAGATGTGAGGGAGATATGTTAATTAATGCACTGTTCGCGCAACATATGGTCATTAGCTTCTTGGAATGCATCACTACACAACTGAAAGAGAAAAATGTTCGAAGGAAGAGATCCATCAAGTGAAATTGTGTGTGAGGGAGGCAAATAGAACCTTCGTTTTCGAATCTTGACGGTTAGACCTATCTTAGATTTTTCAACATCGGAAATATCGATGAGAAAGTTTACATTCCAAAAGAAATGGTACGAAGAGTACATATATATGACTGGAATATTCAATGTAACAACTGCAAGATTACATACGAGCATCATAGCAGCGAAGAGATGGAAAGGAAAGAGTCTAGAGAAAGGGTCCAAAAGAAAGTTTCCACCTTGGATTTGCTTGCCCTCCTTGCTCGAAGTTTTCAGCAAAGATGATCTGCACCACCTTCATCCCGACTTGTTTGAGGTCGCTACCTTGCCTGTGACAGTGGCATCATGTGAACGCACACACAGCAAGGTCAAAATAATAAACAATAATTTGCGAGTTGCTATGTCACCTGATAGACTCGAGGACCTTGCCCAGATTAGCAACGAACGAGATCTAGCCAACAATATCGAACTTAGCAAATTAGTGGAAATATTTAAGCTTGCAAAACCTCATAAGCTTGTCATGCAAGGAGATCTACGATAACATATAGCCATTATTATTCTACCTAACAGTTATTTCCATTTGTATTTAAATATAAAATAATGTTGACTTCAATTTTCCTGGAAGTAGCAATTCCTTTAGGCAGCTGTCAATCAATGTAATCGTAGTCAATAGAATAAGAAGGTTAGGGAACTCGATGCAGACATAATAGACCTATCTATGTTTTTGTCTTGGTTTATGCAAAAAAAATGGTCGGTTCATCGTCATGTGTGTATTGTATTTTTATTTTGCTAGAGTAACCAATAGTTACTATGTTTTTGTTTAGCTATTGTGTAATATTACGACCGGGTAATTAAACATGACGATGAACCGATCGTTCCTTGCATAAACCAGACAAAAACATAGATAATGAGGTCTTTTACTGTATGTCTGCATCGAGTTCCCTAACCTTATTCTTTTGACTATGATGTAATACTGCATTTGTAGGTATTATATATACGTATAGTCATGAAAAAATCGTGTGTTTTTTTACTTTATAATTTTCGGAATTCTGAATAATCTCACCCTGAAAATGCAGGAAATCGCATTTCAGGGACTCTAGATTTCAAAAATTTTCCGGGGGGGCATGCCCCCGGACCCCCCTAGAAGTGTCTCGCGCCTTCACCGCTCGAAAATCCCCCCCACTTTTAAAATGCTGGCGCCGCCACTGTTTGCAATTATACCCACTCTCCCCTTGATGAGCAAAATTGTCTGACATTAGACAGTAAGGCCCGGTTTAGACGCCGAACTTTTCATGCGCCGAATCTAATTGTCGTAGATACGGCAAAATATTGGAAACTGATTTAGACGTCGAACTTAATTGTGCCGTACCAAATTGCGAGGACACTATATTGGACATATTTACAATGCAAATATATGATAAATCATGTTATGATGTTAAAAAATGTTTTATGCATTAGGTTCGGCGCATGAAAAGCACGGCGTCTAAATCAATGTCGAACCTGTGTCGCATATACGACTTGTCTTGTCGCATCTTCGAGTCGTGTCGAACCACGGTTCAAAACCTGCCGAACTTAATTGATTTAGACGCCGCTCCAGCGTCGCACTTAATCATTACATTAGATTCGGCGCATGAAAAGTTCGCCGTCTAAACCGGGCCTTAAGATAGTAAAGTACAATAGATAATCTGATTAACCCATTGAGCAGTAGCACTCTCACATTAACCAGTACACTCAATCATCTGGCATGTTAAGCTGAGTAAAATAATTTGGTAGCACTTACAAGGTTCAACAAACTTTTCTAGACTTGACACATGTAAAATGCAGTGTTTAGACCAGACGTATTAAACAGAATATATGTTGTCTGTATGTGTGCAGTCTTGCAGATAATATAGCAAAGAAAGAATATTGAGAAACAACCAAATATATCAGTATCACTCACTCACCATTCAGTAACAAGATTGGGCTTCGTCCACAACTATCGCTTTTAAATTGTCTGTATATTTCGTCGATTATAATAAAAATTCAAAAACTTTCATGTTCTCCAATTGATTGCTGTCCGTATACAATGACTCTCCCAAACTACACATTGTATCCTTCGATTCATCAACTTGAACAGCTTTCATAATTGAAACATTTACATGATCCTTTAGTTTACTGATTTGGTCAATCTTTAAAACATTTAATGGTGAAATAACCAGATCAAATTAATGTTTATCTTGCATGTAAAACATTATTTCTTTCGAGAAATTCTCAAAGTTCACTCCTTGCAAAAAAAGATGCAGAGTCAGCATTTATTACGTTTACTTCCGGCAAACTACAAGATTTTTGAAGTTCCGGTTTTGGTTTTCGCCAGGGCCTCCGGCAACGC